GACATGAGAGGATTTTTACATGAAGAGTGACTCAATTATGAAGTGTGTTAAGGGGTTTCTGTGATTGTTCTATTCACCTCTTGTTCTTGTTTCTTCTTGGCAGCCTCCTCTTTTTTCTTTTTCTTTTCATCTTCCATCTTGAAACAGTAAAGAATAAGTGGAAATTAATTACAAATTTACATTAACATGAAACAATTACTAGAAAAAGTAATTACAAGAAATTACTTTTATTCAGCAAGGAAGCATTCAATTGATCAAAAATGACCAATTCCAAAAATCCAGAATAAAACCTATCACGCTTTCCACAAAAACATTGAACTGTATCATACTGTAACTGTTTCTCAGCTTTGCCATCAAAGGAATAAATTACATATTAAAATATATTAAAACAGAAACAAGTTATTTTAAACTGTAATATTTCACAATATTGCTGTTTTACTGTAAATTTAATCAAGTAAATGCAGAATAAGTATTTAAAAATATTTTTAAAAATTCTTACCGAGCCCAAACTTTTGAACAGTAGTGTGTTCATAGTGTATTTTAATTTTCAAATATGAAGATGCTCATAAACCAACAGAGAAGTCTCAGAGATGCCCCTACCACCCTCCTTTTTTTAGAAACGCTATTTGCTGTGACCATCTCAGGTGGATCATGACTGATCTGCAGAATGTGTCCAGAGCAGTAAGCGTGCATACGAGGCTCAAAGGAGTAATTTAAAGAAGGTACAACAATAAACCGGTGCAACTTGAGTCCTTACAATTCATTCTGAAGGCCTAAATACATTTTTCATGACCTGGTTTGCATTTGAATCATTTCTTTTGTGATGCCTGATATGCTAAGAAACTTTTTTCCATTGACAGAAGGAACGTATCACCTTACCCTGGTGGAGTGATCATTTTGATCTGATTAATGACTAATTTCAACCTAATAAGGTGCACTGCAGACCAGCAGTACTATATGTGAAACGAGATACAAAACCTACACCACTGACACCAAATAAATCAAGTAGAGATATCACAATATACTGCCAAGTAGATGGATTCTGCAATTACCTTCTTCTTCTCTTCTCTTTCCTTCAGAAGGGTTTCTTTGTCCACCAATTTTACAGATGTGGGAAGTTCTTAGAAAAACAACAAAAAACATTGTCATTTTCCATGACATTCAGGGTTTAATAAAATCTCTGTAGCTTTCATTTACCATCACGATCCTCCAGTCGGACACCCAGCTCAGGTAAAGTATCATCACGCAATTCGTCACATAGCCTCAGCAATTCTGTCACTGGAAAACAAACACATTTCCCTAATGAATTCTCTTTTGTGCGTAAAAAGCACAATCTGTATTGTATGCAAATGTCTGTTGGAGCTACAGCTACAACAACAACCATAAAAAAGGAAACAAATCTTACAAAGAAATAAATTAGAACAAACTAAATGACTTGAGTACACATTGTAGGTCTTTGCTCTAAAATATAAATAAATAAAACACCCCGAGAGATTTACCTTTCTTCTCTCTTGCAATTTTTCTGACGTCTTCCCTGAAATCCGACAGCACTGACAAATAGGGCATGACTGTGTTCTCGAGCTGAAACAGACATTAAAAGATTAAAGGGGTCATAGGGGCCATTCACATGTCGCGCCTAAAAACGCGTGGAAAACGCTAGGCGCGCCGCTTTCTGCTTTTTCCCAAAGCGTTCGGGCGCTTGCGCTCCGGAGGCGTCTGCCGTTGCTAAGCAACCTTGACCTGCGCTGTCCATGAAGACGCGGAAGTTTCAGCAAAGTGTAAATGGATTTGCAGCACTAAAAATCGCTTGCAGTAGCTCTACTACTAAACTTCTTTAAAAATGGCTATCCAAAGGAAAACTTGAAATCGCATCATATGACCCCTTTAAGAAGAGTTTAATGACGGTGGACAACAATCCACAAAAAAGCATTATTATATTGAATCATTAATGACGTGTCTTCACAACTCTGGCTTTGTAGCAGAAATTAAAAGGAAAACCTTTGATGAATCAAACATGATCTGATTGGTGTGGCTTACATCAGAATCCTGTCCGTTTCCTCCAACAGGGAAGCCAATGGGCTCAGCTCCCTCAATCGCTCCAAATGTCTGTCAAAGCAGAAAACAGTTTTAGCAAGCACTTCAATGTGCATCCATTGTTTCAGTTTCTGTCTCTAAGGGTGCTTTCACACTAGCACTTTTGGTGCGCACCCAGGTTCGATTGACGTCAGAGTTCGGTACGTTTGGATGATGTGAACGCTGTCTTCCGAACTCGGGTGCGCACCCGCGAACCGTACGAGCAATGAACTCGGGTTCGGACCAAGCAATCGAACCAAGTGTGAAAGCACCCTAAATCTCAGCTTATTCATTGTAGCAATCCGAGTGAAGAATTTTAGAGATAGTAGAGAAACAAGTGTTCTCTTGTTGCATCCAGGTATCAATTATGTCCAAAGTCAAGCTCATATAACTACTTTTTTGTCTCGCTACCTTAAGCATGTCGGTCAAGTACAGGGCAATGCTCTGCAGCAGCATGCGGTTAGGCGGTAGTTTTGCACTCCTTCTGGCAGCCATGTAGGTGTTACTCTGACCGACAAGAGCCCGCATCTCCTCCAGAGCCGAACGAGTGTCTATGTTGTCACACAGTGCCTCATGAACTGATGTTTTCTTCTCATAGAAGCTACACAAACACACACAAATTACTGTAATGGGTGATAAAGCTTTATTTTTTAGAAGAGAGACAATGTAGTCTTAAGGAACATATGGGTCACCTTTTGTTTAGTTCAATCTCCTCAGCTTCCCATTTCTCAAACTGGCCAGTGATGTCTGTGGGGCTCCTCAGAATATCTTTAACATTTAGGAAGAACTCCTGTGGAAACAAAATGAGAGGAGCGAACACAAAAAATAGTCATGAAGGACTTTTTAATTTGCTCTCTTAAAAGAATATTCAGTTTTATGTTATGTGCTACTGTTTGAATGGTTTATAATACAAGCTTATAAACCATTCAAACATTTGGGGTTGGTAAGTTTTTACCATTTTAACCTTTTTTTTTCAGGGTTCTTCGAAGAATATTTCAAAATAACAGCATTCATTTGAAACAGTAATCATGTAAAAAGTCCTCATTTTTGAGCAACTTATTGCGTCCTTGCTGAACAAAATTATTAATTTCTTTTTAAAAGAAAAATCTTACTGACCCCAAACGTGTTGATATATATTCTGTAGTAATAAACAACCAGCCACAGATGTTGTTGTATTTAATCCAGCATTTTCCTTTAAATTGTTTAATTAAATATTTTACCATATTAAGGGTTAACATATTCAGACAATCCACAATCCATAAAATAATTTTTTTTTAAATTAAAAACCCCCCAGCATGTTCCTATTACTTCAAGGTCTAAGGGTAGTGAACTTGTGTCTGCATTATCATAAATACACTTTAACCATAATTTTCTTAAGGCAGTTTATAAGTGTTTGGGGAAAAAAAAAAAAAACTACCACTGCTAGACTGCTCTTAAAATACTGTTTTTGTGTTAACTAAGTGCGCAACATTTCCCACACTACATACACTAACACCCCTCTCAGCTTTTTAATGTACTTTGTTTGAATATTTACAGCTTTTACTTACTAATTTGGGACCTCAGAACCTCTATTCATCTCCAGTTATATTTCAGCCAAATTCTGTTGAGGGAATTGCACTATTATTGCATCACCGTCTAATAAGCCGTCTTCATTTTTACTCAAGTACAGCCTTTGGAGGTGCACTGGGGTAGAGGGAAAAACACTGTGTCTCATTAAGATCCTAACCTCAAGTTCGGGTGAGGCTGGTCTAAAAAATATAGCGTGTAGGTCAGTCATAGGTAACCTTCGCATACTTCCCATGCTAATGGCTGCCTGTGTGTTTCAGGCAAATTTGGAACTCTGCCCATGTTATATTCCTTGGTGACAGTAATTGATAGGTGGAAAGAAGCGCAAGACAGTATTAATGCGCCCTGAAGGACACGCGCTATTCTCCGACCTTCTGGGTTCTTGAAGGAATCTAGATAAGCCTATTATGCACTCATGAGGATTCTGTATGCTGATAAGTGGCAGATATTAAATTTGGACAGACTATGAATTTTGGGTACTTTTCTCCCCCACTGCTTCTTCCATGTTTCTCACTCACATTGATGAATCTCTCATATTGGATGGCTGACTCCATTGTGTTGTTGGAGTAGTCCAATGTGTCTTTCCACGAATGCATCAGAAAGGCCAAACGAAGCTGTCTTGCTAAAAGGAAATAAAGCACAAATGCACAATGTCAAAACTTATTTTTGTAGTTAATAAATGGATAAATGTGCAAGGCAGAATAAATGACCACACAAACACAAATGTATAGACACCACAGAAGCTCCTATAGGTCAATGACAAACAAGGATGTTTGAGAAACGAAAAAAAAAAAAAAAAAATTTATGTGCCAAGGTCTTAGTAATCTTTTCATCACTGTTGCAAAGATGTCAAGTGGTATATCCATCTAGTAAAAAAATACCTTCCTTGCCCCTTGAAGACACAGGACTTAATCATTATTTTTCAAAAAAAGTTACTGAACATTTCCAAGGTCAAAAACAATGACAGTGATGAATAAACTTGCCCTTTCATTTAAGAGGACAAAATGTGTGATATTTTCCAAGAAAATAATAATAAGCCTTCTTGCCGGCGCTACAGAGCACTGACCACCAGAACAGCCAGGCACAAGAACAGTTTTTTTCCCGCAGTCTATATTCAGCCTGAACAATTAATCTTTCATAATTATACATCGTCCATCACAACTAACATAGTTATCTGACATATTTATATTAAACTGCACACTTTGTAAATAACATATCTGCACACTAATAACATATCTGTACATTTATCTAAACATACTTGGTAATAAAGCTATTCTGATTCTGATTCTGAAATATAAAGACCTTGACACGCACTCATGAGGGTCTTAAGGGTTTCTCTTTTTCTCCTCCTTTTTTTTTTTTAAACCCTTCAAAGAACAACAATAATAACAATAATGATAATAAACTTAAAAATAATTTTGATTTGGAAATTGAAAACATACAGGTTATTCAAAGTCAAATAATTTCATAAAAAAGCAACAACACAAATTTAGACCAAAAAAAAAAAAGAGCATCAAGGTTTTGACCCATATGCAGATGTCTAAATATGTAACAGCGATACTTATAATAATATAATCGTATTATAATTACCCGTATGTTTGGCCAGGGCATCTTTGATAGTAATAAAGTTCTTCAGCGATTTGGACATCTTGCATCCGGCGATGGTCAGGTGACCCGTGTGTAAGAAATATCGTACCCAGTGATCATTCTCAAAGTATGCCTGTTCAAAAAAAAAACAAAAAAAAAACACATTGACATACAGCAATCCAGGGACAGGACCAAGTTCTTTATCATCAGTTTTCAGATTTAATAACAACTAGAAACCATCCGTTTACATGGCAATGCTCAAAACGCCAAAATGTATCCTTTGTAGTTGATGACAGCAAAATATTTCATCACTACATCATGTCACCTCTATATGCTCTTGCAAAATAAGAAAAAAGTGCACTGTTACAGTGGCTATAATAACATGCATATCAAACAGAAATGTGTATTTTAATTACAAGTTTGACAAAGACATGAACGGTTTAACTAGTCGGAAACTTGCCGTTATGGTAATTCCAACGTGACATGAATTCTGCATTAACCTGTACTGAATAATGAACAGGATTCTAATAACAGCTTTAAAACATTTTTCATATGAGCACAGTGTAATTTTCTCACCTCAGATTGCGCCAATTCATTGTCATGATGAGGAAAACGCAAGTCAAATCCTCCTCCGTGGATATCCATAGACTGTCCCAAAATGGATCCAGCCATGGCAGAACACTCAATATGCCATCCAGGTCTCCCCTTAAACATCCCCAGGAGAATTTTAGATATTGAACTCACAAACATTACCAATGCATTCAAAACTTTGTTGCGTTATATTAAAATGACTAAGCAGTCTCCAACTGTGGAGACATTTTAAGGCATGTTCATCTATGCATGTCTTCCTGATGTGTACTTCCTCACCTTTCCCCAAGGGGAGTCCCAAGATGGTTCTCCAGGCTTGGAGGCCTTCCACAGTGCAAAGTCATTCTGTGATCTCTTTTCACTAAGTCTGTCTGCTGAGATACTCAAGTCTCCTGGAAGAGTTAAAAAAAGAAATTCACTCATTAGAAAAACAAACAAACAAACAAAAAAAACATACAATGTCCAAGTGAACACTGAAGAAAACACTTAAGAAATAAAAAAAATAAAAAATGCCCTAACGTCCTGTTATACAATGGATAATTCTGGCTTGTTGCATCCACTGCTCAGATTATTATCGAGCTATATGCATTATCTAGTAACTGCCCTATTGGTGTGCATCAATACAACTGTATTACAGCAATAGTGCAATGCCATTCCACAGTCGAACTGGATACATTTATTGTACTTCTCAAAGGCCCACTTAAAAGTGTAAATCATTTTAAGGGACGTATTGCAATTTATTCCTGTACCTTCTCCTTCTTGAAGAGCCTTCTGATCACCAACGGCTTCTGGTACCAGTTTGGCATAAGAGTGAGCAGGGCAGGAATCAAACTTTGCTGTGTCAAAATATACTGATCCATTTGACTCGTATCTTGTGAGAAAAGAGCAGAAATTCATTCTTAGACATTTTCTCTGAAAGCAGTCTTTTTGTTTATGGGTTTTATCATGAAATATCAAAATAATCAATCTAGAAAGAAGACAACTCTATTCCTACCCATAACCGTTGTCCACAATTCTTTTGACAAATGCCACAATCTCTGGCACGTACTCGCTGACCCGTGTGAGAACATCAGGAGGGAGGACCTGTCAAGCAAAGACACCACAGGCTTTCATCCCTGCTCAGACTTAACATGTTTTAACATATCGGCAAGAACATGCATCACAATATATACAATACATAATACACAGTGTTGGGGAGTAACTAGTTACTTGTAACGGCAATACGGCATTACGTAATTTAATTTCAAAATAAATCCGTTGTAATCCGTTACAGTTACTGGGGGGGAAAAGTGTAATTAAATTACAGTTATTTATGAAAATGTTAACGATTACAAAGTGGGTTACATCTGAATATTTTCTGTAAAAAGCTAGGATATGTTGAATAATATTAATTTGTTGCTTTGCCTGTTTTTGGTGTGCATGATGATTAGCAAAGCGATGCTATTCTGATGCTTTTGATTGGTTCTCTTGTTTGAATTTGCAGCGTACCACTTCTGCCAATTATATCAATCCTCATTGCAGCTGAAATCTTTAGACTACAAACTGCCTGAGAGCTGATTAACTGATTAACAGTTAAAAACATCTGTTAGAAATGTAGAAAAGTAATCAAAAAGTAATCAGCTACATTAATGAAGTAATTGAAATAGTTACACTACTTGTTACATTTTAAATAGGGTAACTTGTAATCTGTAACCTATTACATTTCCAAAGTAACCTTCCCAACACTGATAACACAACAGCACAACTGTTTTCAACACAGATAATAATGTGAAATGTTTCTTGAGCACCAAATCAGCATATTAGAAATAGCTTCTGATGGAAGACGTGACATTAAAGACTGGAGTAATGATGCTGAAAATTCAGATTTGCTGTCATAGAAATAAATCACATTTTGAAATATGTGACTCTGGACCACAAAACCAGTCTTAAGTGTCAATTTTTCGAAATTGAGATTTATAAATCATCTGAAAGCGGAATAAATAAGCTTTCCATTGATGTATGGTTTGTTAGGATAGGACAATATTTGGCCGAGATACAACTATTTAAAAATCTGGAATCTGAGGGTGCAAAAAAATCTAAATATTGAGAAAATCGCCTTTAAAGTTGTCCAAATGAAGTTCTTAACAATGCTTATTACTAATCAAAAATCTATAATTTTGACCCATACAATGCATTGTTAGCTATTGCTAGAAATATACCTGTGCTACTTAAGACTGGTTTTGTGCTCCAGAGTCACATATATAAAAAAAAAACTGTTATTTTAAATTGTAATAATATTTCACAATATACTGTTTTTACTGTATTTCTGATCAAATAAATTCAGCCTCGGTGAGCCTGAGACTTCTTTTAAAAACATTTAAAAAATTACTGACCCCACATTTTTGAACAGTAGTGTATATACATTTTATTTGGGTCATTTTCAAGCTACTGAATTACTCATCAGTATTAGTTCACTCACATTCAGGGCTTCCATATCTTTGTGGTACTCTCCCTCCCAGTACTTTGGCAACAAAGAAAAGATTGAGTTTTCTGTCACTTGGCTCCCAAATTGGGAGTCTAACCAATCTGACAAGAGATCCTTAGCCTCTTCCAATAAGACCTAAAAATGAAAACCATTAAGAAAGAACCAGTTAGTTTCAGAACCATGTCATGAATTCAAATGATCTCATGAAACACTATGTTAATTGATGTGTCACTGAAACACATCAGTCAAATAATTTTGAAAGAATGCCTCATACGGCCCTGATCTAACTAGGTCACATTAAGTATTTTTAAAAAGCTGCTCAAATAATTTACCTGTGCCTGATTCTGGAGTGTATCGCCTGCAGCGTTGCTCTGCACTGCCACCTGCAGGGGACCCAGGGCAGCTTCCACTGCTGCATCCAGCCTCTCCAGCATCTGCTTCTTATCTGGGTCAGTAGTCTCAGCAAGCTTGGCTTTAAATGGCTAAACACAATAAAACCAAAATACATTAAAGCACAGTGATGGGGAAAGAGATGAAAGCAATGAAAACATTTTTGTGAAGGCCAGTAACCAACAGTCTAGCGGGTTTGAGGTGGTCTTGCTTCCATTTCGTTTTCAGAGCTGCTTAAATCTTTTCAGCAAAATGACTAATTTCATTACTTAATGGCAGCTCTTTCAATACTTCAGGATATTGTATAAATCTTTATTATCTTGCTAATGTGAAAGCAACCTGTCACACATAAGTTGTGTGAAAACTGAAGACAGACCTGAACTATTAGAAGAAGAGTTTATTTTTAATAGCATCAATTAGAGAAAATAATTAAAATTTTCAGATCATGCAGTATTTCTATCAGTCTTAAAGCTTGCTTGAAATAAAAACCACAACCGTCTTTTTGTCCATATAAACCTTAGTCAGGGTAGCGACATTTAATTTTTGACAGGAATGAAATCAAGGTTGTGAGGAACAGAAGTACAGTACATTCAATTGATTGTACTGGTGATTAACAACATGCCGATTGTTCAGCTGACAGAATGTCTTTCTGGAAAAAAAAACAAACAAAAAAACGTTTTGTTGACAAAAACACCATAAAAAGTTTTGAGAGTTGGTGAAAATAAGTAAAGACTATAGAAAGACAATAAGTCCATCCCCCACAGCCTCTTTTTCATGGCCTCTAACATGACTAAGGTCTATAGTGACACATATCTGAATAAAAAGCTTCTCATAGTAACTGGCTAATTCTACAATCGTTTCATGCGAGTCACAGGTTGCTGGAAGGGAATGATTGAAACTTGATTTGCTATTGGGCATCCTTATGGCCATGCCCTCACGCCAATGTACATGTCATCAGAGAAGAGATGCAAAAGAAGAGGGCATTTAATGGTACCGATTAAAAATTACGAGAACGTGTTTTTTTTAGGGCTGTCAATAGATAAAATTTTTAAATCTAATTAATCACATCCTTTTTCTGTGATTAATCGCACACTTCATGAAATGAAGCATAGACCCCACTTATCTTGTTTCAAATGGTTATTTTGTCATCATTTGCTATATCAAGCAAAGTAAACCAAAAGATTGAAGGGTGATTCTCAAAAATCTGGATTTTCTGCAAGCTTTTTTCAAGATAAATGTAGATGTCTTTCCAAAAAAGGACTCCAAAAGAACTCCAAAATGAAACTCCAAAAAGACACCAAAGAACCAAATGAAATAAGGAGCCTATATAAGCATATATGAAAGAAAAAAAAAAACGCAAAAAAAAAACAAAAAACATCTGAATTGTATAGTATGTGTAAAGTGCAACAGCAAATAGCTAATTTACGTTTTAGAGAAGTCAAGTTGCGATACCGAACAGGACCACATGGTGATGCCAAAAAAAAAAACCAAACCAACTGACGGCTGACTGCATACTACAGTACACGGATCCATTCAGAATAACTAAACACAGCAAC